ATATTTCCCAACTACTTTTAATTCTAAATTCTTAAGAATGTGAAATTATGCCCTAGCTGGCGTAGCTCAGTGGATTGAGTGCAAGCTGTGAACCAAAGCATCGCAGGTTCCATTCTCAGTCAGGGCACATGCCTGGGTTGCAGGCCATGTCCCCAGTGGGGGCCATGTGAGAGGCAACCACACATTGATGTTTCTCTCTCTCTCTTTCTCCCTCACTTCCCCTCTCTAAAAAATAAATAAATAAAATCTTTTAAAAAAAGAATGTGAAATTATAAATGGGTTTTAAGAAGTAATACAGTAGTTTCCCAGTTCCTAATTACTCTCAGCATTTTTATTTGCAATTTTGCCTCAATGTACACAACACACACACACACACCTTTTTTCACTAACCTGATTTCTATACTCAAAGGTAGAAATCAAAAACACAAATTCCCTTCACTAAAAGTAAAAATCTTAAGTGAATTTTTTACTATCACAACGTTGTAAAACACTTCTGAAATTTTCCCCCATTTAACTCCAGAGCAAAGACTGCACCTTAAATCAGAGAGCACAGAACACAGAAAAATACCAGTGATCCTGGCTAGGTGGCCATATTTAATTAATTGCTTTAAATAAAAAAATGACAAGTCACTTGTCATGTTCTCTTGACAATCCATCACTCTAACCGTAGATTGTTCCTGTCCACACATTTCCTTTTCCTTCCTCTTTCTCTTCTCTGCCAGTGTCCGTTGTGGCTCCTATATTGTGGGATCCACTCAACCAGCCAAACGTCTCCCTTTCCTATACTATTCATATTATTTTCTTAAAAGTCAGCCTATCCAAATGCTATGAAACTTGCCTCTGATCTTACTTCAAACACTAATGAACTCACTGAGCAACAATGTAATTTAAGTTGTTTCTCCATGTATAAACGGGACTTCCCCATAAACACTGTCGTGAATCCACAGAAGGGTGTCCTCCCCTGCTTCCCCTCAGCCCACCAGCTAGCACACACATTGCCAAATGTGTTGCTAATTTCCAGCTTCTTCAGGAGACAACTAACATGTTCAGCCACAAGGTGCCTGCTTCTGATGTGGGTAAAATGCAAAGGCTAAAACACTCACTCACACCACCTACCATGGTGTCTATGTTGCATTTCTTATTTTATATTTACTGTGGTGATATCCAGTATGCCAACTTTAGGAGAGCTGCCAGTGATGCTGGAAATTCGACTACCCTAATCATTATATAACACCATAGAAAGGTTAGGGAAAGAATCCAATATTCTTTTGCAGACATAAAAAATCATTCTGTAAGTAATTAGAAAAGATGATGATGCTTTTTTAAAGGATGGACAAACATTTCAAATGAGAATCAGCCAAACAATTGAGCTACTCATCAATTTTTAAAAAAAAAAATCAACCCTGAAAATATATCCTAAAATTTTTACAAAAATAATGAAAATAGTCACTTATACAAGTAAATTTACAGCACCATCATATTTAGACAGGATTATCTGAGTACTATCTCTTTATACCAGATACTTACTATCCATTTATTCTCACAATAAGGCAGGTGCTATCCCTGTTTGGGAGATAAGGAAACAACTTCAAAAAGGTCACCCAGCAGCAGAACTGAGACCCCAGTCCAGACCGGTCTGCCTCTGAGCACTGCCTTCCATCCCCTAAGCCACGTGGGAACGGATTAAATGGCCAACAATAGTGGGTGGTCAGATAAATTATGTTACATTTACTTAATGAAATTTTATTAAAATTATGGAAGTAAAAATAAAGTATATACTTCACTGTCTATATAAAATAATGTTCTATTAAACACTAAAACAAAATTTAAATGCATTCTCATTATAATGAAGCAAAAATGTATATAGATTTGGATAAACATTAGAATATGGCACAAAGAAATGAAAAATTTTATGGTTAGGTGATAGGTTTAATGGGCTAGTATATATTTTTCTTGAGGTAACTGTTTTTAATAAGTTGGTTTTAAATTATGTCAGCAACAGTAATCAAGACTGTGCTACTGGTGAAAGAATAGGCAAATGGGTCAATGGAACAAAACAGAGAGCTCAGAAACAGACTGACACAAATACAGTTCATTGATCTTTGACAAAGGAGCAAAAGCAATATCCAATGTAGCATAGATAATCTTTTGAACAAATAATTCTGGAACTGGGCATCCACATGCAAAAGAATTAATCTCACCACAGACCTTACACCCTTCACAAGAACTAAATCTGAATGGACCACAGAGCCAAACGTAAAACACGAACCACGAAGTTCCTAGGAGATAACACAGAAGAAAACCTAGATGTCCTTGGGTATGGTGACACAACTTTTTAGACACAGCACTGAAGACATGATCCATGAAAGAAATAACTGATAAGACTGACTTCATTAAAATTAAAAACTTCTCACCTTGGTTGGTGTGGCTCAGTGGATTGAGTGCCGGCCTGTGAACCAAAGGGTCGCTGGTTCGATTCCCAGTTAGGGCCCATGCCTGGGTTGTGGGCCAGGTCCACAGTAGGAGGCACAGGTGGGAGGCAACCATACATTGATGTTACTTTCCTTCTCTTTCTCCCTCCCTCCCCCTCTCTCTAAAAATAAATAAACAAAATCTTTAAAAAAACAAACTTCTGCTCTGTTGAAAGGCACTGTGAAGAGAATGAGAAGAGAAGCCACAAAGGAAAAATATTTGTAAGAGACACATCTCATGAAGGACTATTATCCAAAATATACAAAGAACACTTAAAATTCAAAATAAGAAAACAACCCAATTTAAAAAATGGGCTAAAGACTGTAACAGACACCTCAACAAGGAAGATAAACAGATGACAATAAGCACATGAAAAGATGCTCCACCTCATATGTCATCAGGGAAAGGCGGATGAAAACAATGAGATACCAGCCCTGACCAGTGTGGCTCAGTGGGTTGGGCGCCATGCCACAAAGTAGAAGGTCGACAGTTAGATTCCCGGTCAGGGCACAGGCGTGAGTTGTGGGTTCAGTTCCCAGTAGGAGGATATACAAGAGGCTACTGATCAATATTTCTCTCTCACATCAATATTTCTCTCCCTCCCTTTGTCCCTCCCTTCCCCTTTCTCTAAAATTAAATAAATAAAATCTTAACAAACAACAGCAGTGCGATACCACTATACAACAATTTGAATGGCCAAAGCCCGGAACACTGGCAACACCGAATATGGTGGGCAGGGACGGGTAGTAACAGTAACTCTCATGCACGGCTGGTGGGAACGCAAAATCACGCAGCCGCTCTGGAAGACAGTTTGGCATTTTCATACAAAATGAAACATATACTCACCATGATCCATCAATCACACTCCTTGGTATTTACCCAAAGGAGCTAAAACTTTATAGCCACACAAAAACCTGCACATGGATGTTTGCAGCAGCTTTATTCATAACTGCCCAAACCTGGAAGCGACCATGATGCCCTTCGGTAGGAAAGTGGATAAATAAACTGTGGTCCATCCAGATAATGGAATACTACTCAGCACTAAGAAGAAATGAGCTATCAAGCCAGGAAAAGACACAGAGTAACCTTAAATGCATATTACTAAGTGAAGGAAGCTATTCTGAAAAGGCCACCTACTGAGTGATTTCAACTACAGGCATACCTCGTTTCATTGCACTTCGCTTCATTGTGCTTCACAGATGTTTCATTTTTTTTGCAAATTGAAGGCAAGAGCCTCCACCAGCAAAATGATCACGACTGACTTTATTGTGAAACTCACCTTATTACAGTGGTCTGGAACTGAAACCACAATATCTCTGCGATGTGCCTGTGTGTAGCACTCAGGGAAAGGTGAAACTATGGAAAAGGTAAGAAGAGGCAGGGGGAAGGGAGAAAGGGATGCATAGGAGGAGTACGGAATATTTTTAGGGCAGTGAACCTACTCTATATGATACTATAATTGTAGATAAGAGTCATGTCACAGTTGTCCAAACGCAGAGACTATTCAACACCAAGAGTGAACCCTGACAAACGCTATGGACTCTGGGTGACGGAGAGGTGTCGGTGGAGGCTCGTCACCATAACAAATGTGGCCCTGGCGGGGGATGCTGACAGTGGTGGGGCCGTGCACAAGTTGTGCAGGAGGGGTGTGAGAAATCTCTGCAACTGCCACTCGATTGTGCTGTGAATCTAAAAGTGCTCTAAAAAAATAAAATCTATTCAAAATCAAGTCAACTCTTACCACCTTTGGTTTTCTCTTCCTTTGATTATGAAGCTTTGGGGTGGGAGTAGGAGAGGCCACCCACACAGTTTTTGTTATCGACACCACTGGGGAGTATCTCCCTTGGCTGAGCACTCTAGAGAGTGTCGCCCTGTTTAATCATTTGCAACAATCTTTTGAGGTATATACTATTTGCCCTATTTCAGAAACTAGGGGAATGAGGCTTAGGGATTAAGTTGCATCCACCTGGAAAATGGCCAAGCCGTCAGAGAAAACCAGGTCAGCTTGACTCCAAAGCCCACTGTCTTAATCATCCCACGGTACAACATTACACAGCAGCTCCCTGACGTCAAGTGAGTGACTGACCTCCAAGTGCTAGCACGCCTTCTGAGCCTTGTGTTAAAGAAAATGAGACCGTCAGGGAACAATTCAAAGTCAAATGACTGCCAACAGTATTAGTGGTCTCTGCTTTAGGAAAAATAATTTCCCATTTGATTCATAATAGTATGCCCCTAAATCATGGCAATTACATTCATTTCCTTCTGCTTTTCTAAAATAAAACTGTATTAACAAAACTATAAATAAGGTTTCAACCAGGCTTTTCTTCTGTCTTTACAGATGAACATGGACTGCATTTCCATCCTTTGCCAGTAAGGAAATAGTTAAGTCTTGAGGGTTCACCCTAGTGGATATCTCCCTCAACCATCTAAAGAAAAAAAAAAGGTCACAGTCGGTTACTCCCGTTAGATCCGCGCGTTCACTTGAACATCTGCAGGCACACTCACACACACTGTTTACCGTCGGCCCTCGGCTTGCCACGGTCAGAGTGGGCAGTCAGTGAATCTTCCCCCAGTGCTGCTGACATTTAATACCTGGTTCAGCGGCAAAGATTCAGAGAGGGTGAGCAGCCCTTCTGGCATTCAGGTAGGTCCAACGCCTTCATTTCTACCAAAGCTAAAAGACGGGGGCCTATGTTCGTCAGCGTTAAGGGAAAGACCCAGTCAGCAGTGTGTTGATTAACAGGAGGACTAGATGTCCAGACGGGGAAGGGATGATGCAGAATTCGGAAACGCTGGGGCTTTCTGGTTTCAAGCTGCTTCAAGGATGCTTCTCTGGCCTAAGTGTCCCAGGAAAGACCTAAGTCTTGTTTTACTGCCAGGAAAAAAAAAAAATCAAATAATGTATTCCTTAAACCTGATTAACCATGCAAGATATGGTTAATTCATGCACTAAATGACTGCAGTTACCTGAGGTTACCTGCTATTTTGGAGCAGTCAGGAAAACACAGGCGACACTGATCAGTAGTTTTCATGCTTCGGAGTACAGTACTCTCCCTGGGAAGGAAAAAGAGTCAGTTCAGACACAGGAAACTACAAGCCCAGACCTCACACTATTAATGCTCTTTTGATTCTCAACTACACCCTACCTTCACAGTGTGCATAAATGAAAATCTCCCGCTGAGAAATGTTAGCATGGGGTTGGAGAAATTGTATAAATTTATTGAGCCTATATTTCTGTCTTTTGAAAAGAATCTTTAATGCATTGACTTTGAAACTTCCTTCACTTGAAGAACTGTCTTCTTTTTCAAAATCTGCCTGTTTTTATTGAGCCTATTTAAAGAAAGCATATTAATTCTAGAATAACCTTTTTAAAAACTCTTACAAAAAAAAAGGTGTGACATGTAATCATGAAAACATGGAAAATACACAATTTAGTTTCTCCTTTAGTGAAAACGTATTTAAGTTAATAGAGCAACATTTCAAAAACTAAATAAGCACTGCAAAATAATGTAAAAACACTTTCAGTGTTCCTGTTTATTCTTTAAATGTACAAGTCATAAGTCATCTGGTTTAATACGGGTCACCTAAAAACTCAGTACACAAATATTTGAACTGTGTTACAAGAGGAGATAATTCATCTTAACAGTAATAACCCTTAGCACTGGTTTAGGTCCCTGAAATTCTGAGATGTGCCAACAGCAGGGCATCACCGGGGGAACAGGTCAGACATCCTTAGGGATCCAAGCTAAGCTACAAAACACGGGTAGTGCTGCTTACGCCCTGCCCGTCAACATGCCTCTGTTTAATCGGCCATAATCGTGTTTTCACTTATGAGAAGCCAATATCCCGGTGACAACCTTAACCATGAAGCCAACAGGCTGCAATGAAAACATTTTTTTTCAACGCTTGCTGTTTAAAAGCAAGTGTTCCTTGGGATTGTGCACCTGAAACCTACACAATGTTGTTAACCAGTGTCACCCCAATAATTCAATAAAAAGGAAAAAAGCCAGTGTTCTTGGTGTACGTTCACCCTGGATGGGTTCCTCTACATCCCAGTAATGGTCTTTGTATCTAAAACAAACAGGCTTTGGCTTTGGCAGTCCCTCCACCCAAAAGTGGGCGATTCTCTGACAATCGCCACACAGCGTGCTGAGTATATCCCTTATGGTGTGCATTTACTGAATTGAGAGTCAACAACATTTCTTTTCAGTTCCTATGGAAAGCATTTTCTCAGATGCACAGATGCCTTTTCTTATGCATGCTTGGACAAGCCACAGAAAAAGAATATACAAACACTTGCCCACGGTATTTCGAAAACAGAGCAAGCTGCCAAACCTACAAACCAGTACAGTCTGAGGAAGAGAGAGGCTTGCTTTCATAACTTGACTAATAGACCCTCTCACTCGTCAATCATTTCTCACTTGGTTTAATAACCCATAAGACGATTATTGAAATATCTTATCTTGAAGACTCTCCCAACTAACATTAGTAAGTAGAAAAGATATTTAGCAATTAATTACATCTGTCTACAGAAGTGTTTCGAGGCAAAAAGCCCCACCAACATCTCATTAGACTGACCATAGAGACTACCTGGTCCAAGGAACCTTTGCAGGGGGGATAAAAATATAGTATTAGCATTTATTGAATACTTATTATGTGCCAGCCACTGTGCTATAAGATTTGCATACACAGGGATTCACATTATCCCACATATTTTTCAAAACAACCCAAGGAGTAGTTATTAGTATTGTCCCCATTTTACAGATAAGAAAAAAAAACAGGAGAAAATAACTTGTCTGAGATGGTAACAGAGCAACTAAGTTTTAAAACCCAGACTTGGACTCAAGACAGTCCAACTTCAGTTTCCATATTCAATGAGAGGTTACGAAAAAGGTACCAAGAAGAATGAAATATTTCCTGGTATCTACACTGAACTCGCCACCAGCACTTCCATTGTATATGCTCATCCAATTCTCATTAGTCTAAAAAAAAGTATGGGTCTATCCCTACTGACCGGATTCCCAGATCCTAAAGCCCTCTAATCATCTCCAATACTGTGAACATCATCTGCCATGCCCGGCAGGTAACTGTGTACTGACAACCTTACTTTTGATAAGTTCAGCATAATCATAATAACTATCACTTACCTTGTGCAAAGCCCTGTTCTAAGTCCTTTATGTGTACTAATTTACTAATCATAACTTAATCAAACGTGTGAAGCAGGTGAAATTGTCATCTCATTTTACAGATGAGGAAACTGAGGCAGAGAGAGGTTAAGCGACTTGCCCAACTTCATGTACACAGTGACAGAGCCAGGATTTTAACGCAGTCAGTCAGCTTTCAGAATCCACACTCACAGCCACTGTTTTATGAAGTACGTTAGCAATTTACTCTTAAAAGGCAATGAATCTGTACTATTTTGTTTCCTTTATCCTTTGGTCCCTAGGACTTCCTCTGCAAACGGGAAGGCTGTTTCTCATTAAAGCTCATCACGTCTCTCTAAGGTAGGTGATAATAATAAAAATAAAAATGTATTAAGCTTACTCCGTCTAGCAAAGACTTTTTTTAAATTATTATAACATAACTATTAAATCCTGAAAAATTCTGGCACCTCTTTAATGTTCAGTGCCTGCTTACTACAGACTTACTAAAGAATTACTTCAAATTTCTTGAGCCGCAAAGAGAGGTCTGAAATAACAGCCACTAACTCTATCTTCCTAAAGGGAGAGGGAGTGGGAAGACGTGGGAGGGAGGGGGAGGAAGAGGGATAGTTGCTTAGGAATCATCTCTGCTTCGCTAAACGCCTGAAAACCAGAGCGAGAGCACTTTATTAAAACATGGGGCCTTTGACACGGCACTCGAAAGTCTCTAAATATAGGGCTGGTAAAAATCACTATCAGGTAATTTCTCCCCTGTGGTCCAGGTATTCAGAGACTCGTCTTTCAGTTCTGCAAACAGTCACGGCTTTTCTGACCTCCCCCGCCCCAAGGTCCCCGCACCAGCAACTTTGCTCAAGGGGGCGGTTCTGAGCAGAGCTCCACAGCTTCCGGGCAGGAGTCTGCAAGGACACCTCCGCCTGGCGTCCTTCAGGCTCTGGTTTCCAGGCAACCCCACGCAAGCCAGAAGAAACTGTGCGTCCTACTAAGTCACCAGTTTACGAGTCCGAAAACTGTACTTGAACAATGATTAAAATAAATTTTTAAAAAAAAAAAGTCCCCGGGAACGCCTCAGCAGAGGGCTGCCTGAAGCCCCCCTGGTGCCGCAGACTTCCCATAATCCGGATGTTGGGTCTGCGTTAGCCAATCTCACCTCCCATTCCCTAGTTTTTCGCCTTGGCTCCGATCTAGTCACTGGGCACTTTTGACGTCCTTATTCAGAGAAACATCCTAGGAGTCTCCCCTCCTGGAGCAAAGAAAACTAACAAACGCACAGCCCATAGAGAACTGATTCCTGGGAAATGTAGTTCTTTCTGACGGTAAGTGGTGAGTCTTTAAGGGAAAAAAAAAAAAGGACTGCAATTCCCAGAAATCCAAAGGAGGACTGTCCGTGTCTAAAACATGTCCCAGCTGCTTGAATTGTATTAGAAAGGAAGGTTCTGTGGCTCCTTGCTTACCTAATTACCTGGATTTTGCAAATTCAGTCCCACTACAATCTTGTGGGAGAACTTTTTTAAACATGCCTTCTACATGGGAGGGGATCTAAATACAGTGATTTATCTAAAGATATAATAGGTTAATTTTTTGGTAATTCTTTCAGATAAAAGATCTGCCCACAATCAAAAAATATGTCACTACAGATGATTACAGTCAGTAATAACATAGGCTTAATCCAGCCGGGCTTCTCACTGATGAATTTTGATGGGCAAATTTTCTTCTTTGGTCAAAAAGGCTGGCCCAAGAGGTCCTGCCCCACTGGAGTTTTCCACTTTGATGTAAAGCATAACCATCTCAAACTGAAGCCTGCAGTTTTCTCTAAGGACTCCTGCTACCTGCCTCCTCTTCGCTACCCAGCCACTTGCACATTCAAAGGTGGTTTAGAGTCTGAAAAGCAACAGTACATTATCCATGGGGGGAAAACACCGAACAATGAGCTTTCCGATAAGATTTATGTCATGTCTGTTGTGTGCAAGAACAACAAGAAAGTTACTTTTTGCTGTACTGAGAAAGACTTGGTGGGAGACGTCCCTGAAGCCAGATATGGTCATACCATTGATGTGGTGTACAGTCGAGGGAAGAGCATGGGTGTTGTCTTTGGAGGGCGATCGTACATACCTTCTGCCCAAAGAACCACGGAAAAATGGAATAGTGTGGCTGACTGCCTGCCCCACATTTTCTTGGTGGATTTTGAATTTGGGTGCTCTACATCATACATTCTCCCAGAGCTTCAGGATGGGCTATCTTTTCATGTCTCCATTGCCAGAAATGATACCGTTTACATTTTAGGAGGGCATTCACTTGCCAATAACATCCGCCCTGCCAACCTGTACAGAATAACGGTTGATCTCCCGCTGGGTAGCCCGGCTGTGAATTGCACGGTTTTGCCAGGAGGGATCTCTGTCTCCAGTGCAATCCTGACTCAAACAAACAGTGATGAATTTGTTATTGTGGGTGGCTATCAGCTTGAAAATCAGAAAAGAATGATCTGCAACATCATCTCTCTTGAGGGCAACAAGATAGAAATTCGTGAGATGGAGACCCCAGATTGGACCCCAGACATTAAGCACAGCAAGATATGGTTTGGAAGCAACATGGGAAATGGAGCTGTTTTCCTTGGCATACCAGGAGACAATAAACAGGCTGCTTCAGAAACATTCTATTTCTACATGCTGAAATGTGCTGAAGATGAAGTGAATGAAGAACAGAAAACATTCACAAACAGTCAGACATCAACAGAAGACCCAGGGGATTCCACTCCCTTTGAAGACTCAGAAGAATTTTGCTTCAGTGCAGAGGCAAATAATTTTGATGGTGATGATGAATTTGACACCTATAACGAAGATGATGAGGAAGATGAGTCTGTTACTGGCTACTGGATTACTTGCTGCTCTACCTGTGATGTGGATATCAACACATGGGTACCATTTTATTCAACTGAGCTAAACAAACCTGCCATGATCTATTGCTCTCATGGGGATGGGCACTGGGTCCACGCCCAGTGCATGGATCTGGCAGAACGCACACTCATCCAGTTGTCAGAAGGAAGCAGCAAGTATTACTGCAATGAGCATGTGAAGATAGCAAGAGCATTGCAGACCCCAAAACGAGCTGTACCCTTAAAAAAGCCTCCACTGAAATCCCTCCACAAAAAAGGTTCTGGGAGAGTTCTTACTCCTGCCAAGAAATCCTTTCTTAGAAGGTTGTTTGATTAGTTTCACAAAAGCCTTCCAGATTCCAGGGCATCAAATTTTTAAACCTATCTTAAAGAATCATAGCAATGATAAAATTATATTCCTATTTTCATTTGTTGAAAATGCCTGTGTTTTTCTTTTAGTTAGATGAATTTAGTACCAGTAAAAAGTGTTTATAATACAGTGGTAAATACTTGGAAATACTTTACTGATATGTCTTTAATGAAAATTTCTGACCTGAATTTTCCATCCAAGGATTCATAAATACAGAAGCAGTAATAAGATAGATAGATAGATAGATACATAGATAGATGGACTCCATTGAAATGAATAAATAAAAAAGGAAGCTGTGTCAAGTTCATTACATTTTTATCAAGTTATCTGCATGTACTTTCTTCAAAGTTTCCCCATCATATGGTGTACAAATGATGAACCAAAACCAATCACTTGACCCAATTCTTGGAGAGGTTTAATGAAAAGTGATACTTACCACTCTGACAAAAGATGAGTCAGAGCATGTGCTTGAAAAAAAAGTCTAATAAATCTCATGGAGAACAATAGTATTGTTTATAAAGTTTTAAAAATTTCCTAGAGTTAACAGGTGGAAGATTTCAAATGGGGAAAAATAAATTTCTGTATATGTCTAGTTAATAAATAGGGTTTGCTACCAGTGAAAATTATGAAATCAGTGAGCTTGCTAAGGTTCAATTAAATACTTTCTAGAGTGAAAGTTAAAAGGACTATTAATTTTTGAGGCTCTGAGACGTCAACTGGTAATTAGGTGACCTTAGAAACAAATATCTTCCTCCTGAAGTATTTTTCTAGAAAAGTGTCTTACCTTATCCTGAGAGCCTAAGCCTCTTACTCATCTGTCTTCAATGAGAACCCACAATGTATAAGGTACTATAGCGAAATTTAGAAAAACATGAACAATACAAAAGATAAAACCCTGGAATGAAAGTTCTTCTGCTAACAGTTCCATGTCTTAGATACTAAAATTAACTTAAATAAACTAAATCATGGTCACTTTGTTTCAGTAATGTTATTTGATGAGTACTCCTTTAGAACAATTTGCTGTACCATTGTTTTTATTTTCTGTGTTGTCTCTGTCACCTACATGAAATGAATAAAATATTAAAATGCCTTCTGTTCAGATTGATTTACTCCAATTATTAACATTTACAGTTACCCAATTAAGCCAATGGTATACTACTTAATTTTCTCAGGATCACTTTAATTTCTTTTTTAGCTGTTAGTAGAAACTGCTATAAGTTAGAGCTGGAATATCCTTCACAGAATTCCAAAGAATTATTCTCTCTAGAGGTAGAGACATACTCCTACATTAATTTGCCCACAGTGATTGAGTGGCTAAAGAATTACTATCACCATACTTGTTATGTAGCCAGCAAGATCAAGACATGGGGTCCATATTAAACTGAGATCTTACCAACATAGCAACCATTGGCATGCATGTGAGTGTTGGGGGAACGGGTATGTGTTTTAGGAGTAAGTACTTTGGTTTTACTTACCATATATTTGAGTAAAAATAGATCTTTTCATATCACTTCAATGTCACATTGAGTTCATCACATACAACTTTAAGATAATGAGGCTTCTCTACTAAGCATGTACAAATATGTAAATGAACCATATTAGAACAGTACTTGTTTCTTCCAAAGGTTAAATTGTTTTCACCTAACACATTTCTAGGCTTACATTTCAGTCACCTTCAGAGCCTATGGTTCATTCCTTTGAAGATATTTAACAGTTGTTGCCGTTCCTACATTGGAGATGGAGCTGGATCCTGGAAACAGACAAATGTCACTCCAAAGATAACACAGGTGTAATTCTCAGTATTACATTACTGCTTCAGGTCAAAAGGAAGTCAGAGTACAAGCTAACAAAATGGGTTTTCTGATTTGGCTCATAAATAGCTTCTAAGGTAAGTCCCAAACTTTTTACATAAGAATAGTATCAATAAAAAGTGTATGACTTTCCAAGGTGACTATTTTAAGGGACTACACTCATCTACAAGTTCAAGTTTGTCATATTAAGAGAAGAGAAAGCGTAATTAAAAAGAAATCGTTGGGTCGAAAAGTTCTGGGGTGAGGTGAAGAGTGTCATGTCTGAGGATCGAAAGCGCGTCATCAGGAGGCCAGTCTGACCAAAGCACAGCAAACAAGGAGAGTGCAGAGCGGCACGAGCCTGGAGAGATCAGCAGGGGCCAGGGCTCTGGGTGTTTCAACGGTAAAATAAAATCATGTGCAACTTCACTCACATCATTTTGACCTGTCTCCTCCTGTTTACCTCTGTTTCACTGTTCCCTACATACTTGGGGCTCAGTCTCCAGAAATACTGAACTGATAGCATTTCTAGTGAGCACTCCTCATTGTTTCATTACTCAGGGTCTGTGAACAACCGATTCCCTCTGCAGGACATGCCTTCCCTCTTGTATTTCATACCTCCTGTAATGCCCTAGTCCACCTGGCCCATTCCTATCTAGTCTTCACACCCCAGTCCGAGCAGCTGCTCCCCCAGGAAGCCTTCTCTGAACCCCATCACCTCCATCACCTCCTTGACAGCTGTAGTGCTTACAAATCTCTGCTTCTATACTCGGAAGTACAAGAGACAAAACTATTTTTTCTATCACTCAATTCACATTATGTTGTGTGACAAAATTTTACTATATGACAAAATTTTAATTTCAATAAATTTAGGTTTTCCCTCTTCACCTAATTTTTTAGCCAATTTCCAGCAAAAAAAAATACACTGCTAAGTTGTCAGAAGTGGAGAGGAGTGGAGGGTGAAGCACTGGTCTTTGGGGTCATCATCCCTCCTCACTAGCTTCTGCTACAGCATCCAAATTCCCACCTGGCCTGGGGTTACCAGCTTTGAAGATGATTCCGAGTTGCAACACAGCCTTAACCACAAGGCATCCTTAGATATCTCTCTCTCTCTCTCCCTCCCTCTCTCTCTCTCTCTCTCTCTCTCTCTCTCTCTCTCTCTCTCTCTCTCACCTGTTTTCAGGTCCCCAGTGGGCTCAGGACCTGATAATGCAGAGATTATTGCATGATAATGCAGAGATTATCCTGTCCCTTCCTCTCCCAGAGTGGCCACAGCTCTCTCTGCCAGACCATCCCAGACTTGTGTGTTTCTATACCACTCTTGGGCACTTCCAGCTTCCTTTGCACCTTACTGAGTCAGAGAACCTCTTCCTGACTATCTCTGGCTAAAGGTGGTCGCTGACCACTACCTTGCTTCTAGATGTCACTGGCCTTCCCGGCTCTATCAGGAAAGTAAGACCCACATGCTTTCTGCTCCTGGCTCCTAACAATTGACATTATTTTTTCCAGATTTACTAAGATACAATTGACATATAACATTGCATAAGTTTATGGTGTACAATGTAATAATTTGATATACCTATATATTGAGAAATGATAAATACAATAGTATCTTTATTAACAAACACTGTTTCTGGTACATTATAGTTATTGCTTGATAAATGTTCATTGACTTGAATTAAGTTCTCTGTATATGGACTGAAATGTACTCACTTCTGTAGTTGTTGTCTTACTGTCCTTCTGATTCTTTAATACATGAAGGATGAGATATGGAAATACATCCCTGGTGTTCTAAATATCTTTACCAATCAAAATATCTCATCTCACAGAACTTGGAAACAAAGATTACAGTGTACTGCACAGGAGATGAGGTGAGGTCTTGGGTTAAATTATTCTCTTTTCCAGAGAAAAGAGTTTAGAATAGATATCATGGTAAATTTAGATAGAAGAGGCAGCCATTCTAATTCACAGTGACAAGAATTTCAAATTATTTGTATGCCACCAAATCCCTCTGTAGCATAGAATATTGCTTTTTGACTTGGAATTTAGCATAGATGACACCACCTTTTCCCAGACCTAATTCTGTCAGGAAGTACTCATAATGCAAGAGGACTAATACCTCATTCTGTCCCCAAATATCAATCTAGTAAATGTGCATGTATTTAAATCATAATTTTGTAAGAATAGAAGGGAAAGTTACCAATAACGCTCCTTTCAAAAAGCAGATTACTATTTATAGCTGAAGGATAAAGATCCCTTGAATGGTCTCTTTGGAGTATCCATCAGTAAGCATTTATTGAAAATCCAAGATCAACCAAAATATTATGGGGCCTGAAAAAACACATGAAAGATGAGCCCCATCCTTGGGGAACTTACAGTCCCACTGTAGAATGAGGCAAAGGGCCCATACAGGAAAGCTATAGAAAATAAAGTAATAGATACTTTAAGCAACTGGTGACATATTTAAAATTGGGTATCCATACAATAACAGTGTACTTTTTAAAACTGGATATATTGGTAAAATTAAGAGATTGGGCTAACATATCTCTAAGTTTCCTTTGTTAGATTGACCTTTGCCAAAGTGATATGGACAAGGTAATTGTTAAATGCAGAAAATGCTCTTTGAAGTGTCATACAAAACATATAGTGATAACTCAGAAGAACAGAGGTTTGTGTATACAGGTAAAAAAAAAAAAGGCTAAATGATCCATTTCAAACCATGAAAAAGTATGAGCGTGGCATGACAGAAAGATACTTGGTCTTCGTCCCTGGCTCCTGGCATAAAGTTGCCAAAATGCTTGGATTTCCTGAGTGATAAGGGTGCAGTGAGTATCTTTTATTCCAATGAGGCGACTCTTGACAGGCCCCTAGATAGCTTCAGGATGGGAGCTGGTCACTAAAAAAGATCAAGCCTAGATTAGAAGCTTGGAACTTTCAGCCCTCTCCCCAAACCCCAACTCTGGGTAAGAAAAGGGCTACAGACCAAGTTCAGTCCCCAATGGCCAGTGATTCAATGCCATGCTTACTTAATAAGCCCTCCATTCAACTAACCCTGAGCAGGTATTTTAGGGTGGCACGCCTCAGTTCCTCAGGGCCAGAAGCTTCTGCACTGAGGACCCTTTCAGACCTCACCCTGTGTACCTCTGTATCTGGCTGTTCATTTGTATCATTTATGAGCCAGTTAATGTAA